TTTCCGGAGCATATCTCATAAATCGTTCAAGATATCTTTTTGAAACTTTGTACAGACATCTATCCATTACAGTAGTTGTGCCTTTGGCTATTTAGGAATTTCTGAGATTTATATTTTTTGTGTTTCCATGGAAACAAAAATGACTTAGTTTTTGGTGTACAATTTTGTTTCCGGAGCATATCTTATAAATTGTTCAAGATATCTTTCTGAAACTTTGCACACACATCAACCTATTACAGTAGTTGTGCCTTTTGCTATTTAGGAATTTCGGGAAACACATAAAACTATCAAATCTGAGAAATTCAAAATAAGAGGATGATGATCGAATAAATGTGAGGATTGTACTAAATCATTTACATGCCAGCGTAAATGTCTGCAGTACAAACGTAATGATACATTGCATAAATTATAGGATATATGATTCCTGTTCTAGGTTATTTGGGTATTTGCAAATGTACTATTCTTTCATTGATTGGCTCAAAACTTTGTAACAATACAAACAGCTACATGTATACATTACCAATAGCATAAAGAAGTTATTTTTCCTTATTTCTTCCAAACAAGTGCAAGGGCGCGGGGTGTTGATGACTAGTCATCTTGTTTTTATTTCGATGGCCTACACTACATAAAGATCTGACCAGTTGTACTGTGAGGTCGCTGCCAGAGGTCATACGAGCGACTTTTGACCCTGATAAATCAATCAGCGTTGACGTTTCTGGGGATTTACCCACAGTTCCGTGCAGAGCACCTGCTGTATGACAACTCTTCCAGATCCTAGTGTTGTGAAGACAGGTAAAAAGAAATTTTGAACTAAAAAATGAAACGAAATAGCATCCGTGTACGAGAAAACACTTTTCAGGTTAATTTTGAACCAAGTTGTTTCTGTCCCCATATATTGTTGTGTGCAGTGGAATTAAAAAGTAATTTTTTTACCAGGCTCCAAGAAAAACATCATTTGATTTAGTTAATGAATGTTAATATAGTCGATGCGGTTAGCGGAAGGGCGGGGCGGATATAAGCTGTAAGGCTAACTTTAAACATGTAGTATAACGCTTATCGTTTACGAAACTAAAGACACGTCGTGTTTATTTCGATTTACATTTTGATATTGAACAAAACTAAAGTACCTATATTGTAAATAATGCTGAAATGATTTGCATATATTTTTTACGTTCCTGTTTGTAGACCTAATAGAGATATTATTCACTACCTACCTCTACGTTGTTTTCACCTTTGTATATTTGTTGTTTGAAATATGCGCATTATTCTTATGTAAATTATAATATGTTTTACATAATTTAAACGTGCCAATTTTGTTTTATTACCATTAGGAGACGGATTAATATAAGCTGTATATCTTGTTTCCGAATCCCTATATGTGCTGTATATTGTGTGTGTAATTATATGTTAAATAAATACTGTTTAAACCAACAAATTAACGAACCATGTCACTGAAGTTCCTGACCTCATCCTTGTAAATAATCTCTATTATATTACGACTGAATCCATACTCTTCTTCAACTTGTGTGGCATTATGTATATTACAGCATATTCCTGAAGCAATGGCCCGATAAACCCCTCTCCGGCCATTGCTAGATTGGCTTCTGATACTTGAGCTTTTGAGGGAGTGTGTCTTTTCTTCCCGTTCAATCAAATCTATCCCAAGTACAGCAACATGACATCCCTTCGTTAAATCTGGGTCTTCCCGAACACGTTGGTCAGTGATTTAAGGTATAAAAAGCAGTGGAAGTATGTTCGTCTAAAAACAGTATTGTTTACATTGTTTTCAATTTGATAGCCTCGTTTGTCACGCAATTATTTTTCCTGCAATATTTTGCTATGCACTGGTTAATTGGGCATAATAAAATCGTGAGTCATGACGTAACGTTATGTAAACATATTTGGTCCAATTTGGAGCTCTGCTTTTGTAACGCAGTTAGCTATTGGTTGTTAATCGTACCATTGACCAATCATCATTTGGAACAGAAATTTGCTTTCGTTAAATCATTGTTTAGTGGGATTAGGTATAATCCGACGAAACACTGCGAGGAGTATGAGATTACCGGTACATTATGGACATTGCACCCTCTCCCCTTCAACTTGTGTGGCATTATGTATATTACCGGTACATAATGGACATTACACCATCTCTCCCTCAACTTGTGTGGCATTATGTATACTGACGTCCAAAAGAAAGTATACACACTAAAAGTATGACTAAGTTTTGTTTAGATTAAAAACATTTGATAAAGCATTACTGAGTTTATCTCTTGCGTCCAAACTCAAAATTTCTAAGCAAAATAAAAATGTGAAACAAATTGACATTCTACCCAAATACCGTATACCATGGAAAAACGACTTTGGTTGATGCAGCACAAAATGCACAGTGTATACTTTCTTTTGGACGTTAGTATATATTACCGGTGCATAATGGACATTACACCATCTCTCCCTCAACTTGTGTGGCATTATGTATATTACCGGTACATAAAGGACATTACACCATCTCTCCCTCAACTTGTGTAGCATTATGTATATTACCGGTACATGATGGACATTACATCCCGTCCTCTTCATAGATAGATAATGTAAAGTGAATAATTTGAAAAGTTCATTAAAATTACTCTATTGCGAGCGCAGAAATTAGCCTTTGAAGGTTTGGCAAGACGTGGGCAATGATTTCAACCACCGTACTGGTTGTTCGAAGCTAAGTTTTTAAATTAAATCAAAATATGACTGAATATTCTAATCCATTTAATATCGGAGAAATCTGAAGCCATCGAGAGTTGATTATGGCCTGGATCAGTCAATTAATGTGTAATTAATAATTTAGGAAACATTTCAGGCCTAAAGAAAGACCTGAAATAGGCAGATTTAGCTCTTGGATGTTTAAGGGAAGGGGTAGCATTTAGGTTATTGAGAGAGTGCCATTTAGATTAAGGGAGAGGTGGGATATTTAAGTTAATGAGGTGAGGGCATTTAGATTAAGGAGAGGGTGGAATTTAGATGAAGGAATGAAGGGTATACATATCCAGGAAGGGTGGTAATTAGATTAAGGGGATAGTGGCATTTAAATTAAGGAAGGGATGATATTTAGATTAAGGAAGGAGTTGCACAATATGTATCCAAGAAGGTGTCATTTAGAAACAGGGGGGAGTGGCATCTACATTAAGGAAGAGTGGTATTTAGATTAAGAAAGGAGTAGCATTTAGATTAAGAAAGGGTGGCTTTTAGATTAAAAGGGGTGGCATGTAGATTAAAGAGGTGCCTTGTAGATTAAGGAGGGCGTGGCATTTAGATTAAGAAAGGGTGGCATTTAGATTAAAAAGGGGTGACATATGAATTAAGGAAGGAGTGGCATGTAGATTAAGGAGGTGGCATGCATATTAAGGAGGGAGTGGCATTTAGATTAAGGAGGCGGTAGAGATAAATGAATGTTGTTAATTACATTTGAAGGAACGATCATCCAAATCTGTATTTATAGATGTAATGAAATCGTGTATAATATCATCAACTATCGGAATGTTGGGTGTATATCAGACAATTTGTCCGCTAGAATCTTCTCGTACTGTGACATCAACAACGTCATACACGTTAGGTGGATATTTACACTGGTTGCACTGACGAGAACCAGTATGGCGACAAGAAGAAGGGGAGAGAACACCTCCACGACCGACGCACAGATTTTCTTTTTTTGTATTAAAGAATTCTTCCATAACAAAATACCAACTTGTCTGACAAACGTCATCAATTTCTATCACTTGTAATTCCTCATACACACAACAATAATACTATACAACTTTACAAAAAAAACATACACTTAAAAAAATATATTATTCAGTTATAAAGAAAGAGTTTAGTAATATTGTGTCACCATCGAATACACACTGGCATTAAAATTATTAAAATGCAACGTCTAAAACCCTAGCAACAAGACCATTGAACTATAACGTCGACTACACTTTATCAAGTTAGCAGTTTATAATGTAACATAAGCATACTAGTACTACTAGATTACACGCTGTTTCCCGATTTACATTATAAACATGCTAACATTTAAACATGCTGAATCACGAATCGATCACTGCATCCCAGCTTATTTCCGTTTTGACTATGAAGAATTTTATCTCGATAAAAAAAAACGCCAATTATATCTGTATGCAAAATGTTTAAATTCATAGTCAATTCAGTTAAAAATCGCGGTACTCAATCAAAAGAAAAGTAAAATTATTTCTGTTTTATTAGTTTGCGGGCAATTTTTTCGCCAACAAGATGATATATCTAAAAAAATGTCACTTCACCCTTCTGTCTGACAGTTAGTGGGTCAGCTACCAGCCCACAGCCCACTCCTTATCCACGCCCCTGGCTCATACGTCTATGTCTGTTTCTCCCGATAATTGCAGAAAACTAATGTAACGTTTATCATATATATCAATCTGGCGGAGTAATTGTTGACATATTTAGAGATTTGCCTAAACGTGTTACTTATATGTGATGGTCTCTTTATGCTTTGAAAACGTACCACTGAAGAGACTTAGCGCAACTGAAACGTGATTTTGGCATAATTGTAGGCATGTGAAAATGAATATAACCCACTAAGGTTATATCAACTTTATAGTGAAACGTAGGCACAGAATCTAAACCCAGTAACGGCTAGCTGGGATATTCTTGTAGGCGGCCCTCGATGTTTCCATTATGAACATAGTTGGATCGACAAAGCAGGTGTAAAATTGTGCATGTTTAAGGACATCAGACAGTCATTTAATAGAGTTAAATGGAATTGGAAGTTGGGATCGAGACCCAAAATGGGCTGAAAATAGCTCCACCCCACCCCTCCGTTAGTGACTGTGATAAATAAAATAAAACTATTCAATCAGACTAAACAGCAAAAATGTTGTGGTTCGGCGGTATTAGAAGTAATAGTTGTTGGGAGAAGACGCAGAAGGTTTTGTTTTGGTTAGATTGGTATAAAACTTCAAACACCATACGTAAACACATGGTATTGTGACAGAGGACATTGCGTTTATTAACTGAATTATTGGATATAAGTATAGATATATAGTCGCGATATCTGGTAATCGACAGCTGTCACTTTTAGGCGAAGTTTGTAAGTTTACTAATCAAATCAAATCTTATATTTTATTTCTTCTAGGTGAAATATCACACATTAATTTAGTAAGAATACGATTTCCAGTTTCACTAGATGCAATGATTAATCCCTTTAGACAGCAGACTACCAAATTCCACAAGCAACAGTTTCCAAATAGTTTCTCTCATCAGTGTTACATGTCCCTGTGAAACACATGCAGGCAACGCTAGACATCATCTAATTGAAAAGAAAAAAATAATAATAACTCCTTACAACAGAAACAAACAGTTTGCTATGTTCGAGATATTTTTCTGACTTGATTAACGTCAACACAAACTAGGTTATTTTGGGACAAACACATGATGCATCTTTATTTCAACAATTCGTGTGCGTGTAGGGATCTTCGGTAATGACAGGAAACCTGGGGTCCTGGGTAAATTCTATAGGGTTGCCCAAGCGCCTTCACCCGAAGTTCTCCAATCCAGTTTCTGTGAATAAATATTGTTTAGAAAAAAATAGATATGACCCAATAACACATTTTATTTGTATGATCTAAAGTGCATTCGTTTGTCCACTCGGTCACCTTATTTAATTTAACATGTTTTTATCTTTTATATAGATGATATAATACAACGATTTAAAGAGTACATGCTAATCCAGCTATTGCTGCTTTATTATCGAGTTCGAACAATTAATTGTTAAATAAGTCATACAAAAATTAGTTCCTCGTTTCATTTATTTGATAAATGTTTATTGTTGTGGGATCTCCATCACGTGTTCTGTCATGTTATATGTCATGGAACATAATATACTCTCGTGACGTCATGTGTGACCATTCAAAAGTTCAGTAATAGCAATCTTTTAATATAAAGTACAGAACAATAATTAAATATTCGTTATACTCGTAAGATGTCGATACAGAGCTGGCCGTTCTTGCTATAATAATTCACAAATAAATAATGCAAGGTGAATGTATTTACAATTTCGTTCAATTTACTTTATTCTGAGCAAAGTTATCACTCTTTCTAGTTTTGACAAGATTGGTGCAAAGATTGTTTATTATCGTAGCAACGATACTTGTTATTCGAAAATTAGTCTGGATTCTCCATTTTAAAATCAAATCATTGAATATCTGAAGCGTTCTAATCTACTTAAAATCAACACTATCCGATGACCTGTCATGTGCAGATTTATTTCTTACATAATCTATCTTTAATGATTAACGGTAATTAAACATACATTATACAAAAGCTAAATCTGCCTATTGCAGGTCTTTCTTTAGGCCTGAAATGTTATCTAAATTATTAATTAGACATTAATTAACTTATCCAGACCATAATCAACTCTCGATGACATCGGATTTCTCTGATATTAAATAGATTATAACAGTTCAGTAATATTTTGATTTAAGCTAAAAATGGAGGAGCGAGACTTAGCTGCGAACAACCAGTACGATGGTTGAAATTATTGCACACGTCTTTTCAAACATATCAAATTATTCATATCACATTATAATGTATCTTTAATTATATAAAAATAAGTATTCATCCATTACCTTGACAATGTGTTGCTATGTCGTTATTAATAAAGTTGTACAAAGTGTCCAAACGATCACAATATTCTTGATCGCTTTCAGAATGTTTTTTATGAGTATGAGTATAACAATATCCCTCTACCCCTAGTGTACAAGCCAATACGACGAAACATAGAACAAGAAACAGCCTCATCTTTAACTGGTAGACCAACAACTAAATGACAATACTTGTGAAGGGTTCTATCTTTATAGTCGTGTATGGTTGACAAATCTTTAAAACAGGATGCCAAGCTGGTGAATAAAATCTTATTTACATGAATTTGATTTATGAGGTTGTCAATTTGCTCCACACCTTTTATTTGATTCAACAATAAAATATTTCACGAGAAACACTAACCAATATTGAGATTTTTTTGTTTCATATGTGTCATGTGGCTATTTCTGGTGTTTCTAAATAGTGTTTAACTTCTAGTCGACATGTTCTAGGTCACTTTGTTATGAACATATTTCAGTAATTCTGTAATAGTGGTCTTTGTTGTTATGAACCTATTTCAGTAATTCTGTAATAGTAGTATTTGGTATGAATCTATTTCAGTAATTCAGTAATAGGGGTCTTTGGCATGAACCTATTTCAGTAATTCTGCAATAGGACTCTTTGGTTTCATTAATTCTGTGATAGGGGCCTTTGGCAGTGGAAGAAAATCGAGCGATTCTAAGACAATCCAAGTGGCTGTGGAGGCTAGTCTCTTTCTTGTCATGTACACGGTTAGGACCAAATCTCCGCCATTTGTCTCAATGTTAAACCTTACCTGACCACCTTACACCACATTTTACTATTGCGCACTTAATAATAATAAAATTGATATCAATCGGATTATATAATAAATTATAAAGTATAATAAATGTACACAGATGTTGTTATTTGTAAATATTATTTGTTATATTCAATGATATTTATAGGATAATAAATCCGACGAAGAGAATGTTATTAGATTGAGTGTTTGACGTTTTATGGATCAGCATGGATTGTTCATTGTTCTGGCTATTTTCAGTTAAAAAAACATCTTCGTAAACCATTCAGCTGGCGAATAATACTAAATGAAATAAAATGGGGTTTAACGTCCCACTTTTCTTCTCCTACTGGGCCAGTGGAGACACGCATACGCCATGCAGTGTGCTACAAGGGAAATTTTGCCCGGACAGCTGTAATATGGTCTACTCTTATTTAAAATTCCAACTGTCAAGGGTCATATTACGTGCACGCCAATGAGTAAATGGGATCTCTGTTGTCCGTCCAATCCGAACGAATATACGTTGTCCCTTGTCACACCTTCCGTCCTACATCACTACCAAGGGGGAACCACGTCGGAAAATCCCGATGAAGTTTCTCGGTCAACGCAAAGATCGAAGACGGGACCTCCAGGCTAGCGAACCAATGTCCTACTCACTGAGCCACCGCGGCGCGGACGAATAAAACTATCATACCGTATTAATTGATTAGGTTAGTCATTAGAAAGTGTTTATATCACTAAGGACAATATCTTTGACTCGAGGACGGGCGCTAGAAGCCTTCCCAAAGTTAGGCTTGAGTTCAAGTGTGTATTTGAATTAAATGTCGATAATACAATGTGACATTTTTACACACTCTAAAACAAAAGTGAAATTCACGAGAAACTCAGTTAACATCAATACATTTTTTTAAAAGAAAATTTTAATCTTGCTTTTCTGATGCGAGATTGAGAGAAAGAAAAGAGTCGACATTACTTTTGTAAAATATGTACATAGCTATCATTCTTTCGGGGCAAACATAATTATTCTCAAAGGATGTAATATATGACAATCTATGTTGGAGAGCTGACTTTAATAATATATAAGTGGGGTCTTAAAATATACCGTTACAGTCTCATGGACAATCATACAAAGAGAGATAACTCCTTTTTATTTATTCGCTTTATTTATATACATTTATTATGATTCTATGTATATGTATATCTTTAGTTGCGTTATATAAGATTATTTTACGTTTTCCGTACATTTAAACCTGGTCACACGTTCAATGAACTAACCTCATGAAAGGCGTATAGCTACGTACCAATTTAACATACAGACACAGTAACAGGAAGGACAAATTCAAATCCACACGACTCTTTAATTCATAAGAGCTTCTCGGAAAATATGGCATACCAGAGGGGAATTCCGAACACAATATTAGATCAGCATGATTGAAGCAGAACGAATCAAAAATAAATACAAATCTACAATCTAACTCACAGCTCAGTTGTATTCTAGTGATATTTAGGCGGTATATATGGGAGGATATAACAAAATAGCACTCATAAAAATGTCAAACACTTAAAGATAGAATCACAAGGACTCCTGTGTTGATACTGTTGCTAGTGGGCTTGGCATGGGCATCGTGTTTCCAAAATTATTGGCATATGCGATCCTAAACCAGTAGAGCAGGTCAAACCCAGAATACAGCAGGGCATAACTACTGCCTAACCAGAAGTGACAGTTTTACGCTTTGCAAAATAGTTCAAGTCATATCTATATTGAAGGGTATTTCAACACTTGGGTCTACGGTGGTTATATCGGCGGGAAAATAGTGAGTCAGCTTGAAGTGAGGTGATATCTGCCTAAGGCCTTAGAATTGTCTATATATTTGTACGAAAATACCTGCACACTTTCTAGGAAACCCGGCAAAGTGATAAATGAGAATACTCACTCCACTGTGCATCAATCTAAAATTAGTAACAGGAATACCGTCAATGACGTGATCCGTGTTGTGTCATGAAATGTTGAATATTTTCTCATACGATTGTATTCCGCCGTGAGAACAAAATGATTACCATTAAACAAAATAATGTTTTATTGGACGACGAATCTTACAATTGGTACTTATACAGGGTAAGAGAATATCAGAACACAGATTCCGGTGACAGAGGTGATTATCACAGTGATTTGCTATATCATAAGGCCTGTCATTGAGTCAACTGGCGTGGTTTCGAATCGCTGGTTGTCCGTGACAAGGAGTAGGGTCGCCTGTCCAGCCTCGTGGGTTTTCTCCGGGTACTCCGGTTTCCTCCCACTGCTAAAGACCCCTACGCGCAAGCTAATTATTGAAATCAAATTAAACCATATGTTAGTCCTGGAATGACCTAGTTTGTGTCGAGTGGACGTTAAACCCTTTTTTTTCTCTCTATCTCCCCCATAATTGGTCAAAAAATTTTTTTTACAATTGGAGGATAATTAATTCAATTTAAGTTGTTGTTTTTTTTAAAAAAAACAAGGGTGGGGGTATATACCGATAACTAGTTGTCTTGAACAAATAAATATCGCGAAGACCGACAAATCTGTTATATATAGAGATACAGATTACCTTGGTGTTCAATGCACGAGCTGGGGGTGTTTATCTAACTTGAACCCCAAGGTCAAGGTCGATAACTGACTTACATACTGTATTCTTTGTTTCTGTAAGAAGTTGAATGAATGAATGAATGAAAATGGGTGGATACGAGAGAGACGCAAGATTACCCCGGGTTTCCCCTTGTCATTGAAATAACATGTATTTATTGTTTTAACTATATGTATATACCTTTTTTAATTAATACGATGTTTCATGTTATTTCTAATACAGTGCACGCACGAAAATGCGTGGTCTGTTTTCCACGGTAATTGGCTGATTGGGACCATGGCTGATTGGGACCTGGCTGACTGGGACCAGATTTGTGGCGGACTGGGACCAGATTTGTGGCTGATTGGGACCAGATTCTTGGCTGACTGGGACCAGATTTTTGGCTGATTGGGACCACGACAAGGCTCATTCGGACCATTACTTAAATGACGCGAGTATTTAAAATATGTTTGCATATTTTTGATAATAAGACAACTGTGACAATAAATAGTGTAATTAGTCACAAATAATAGTGTAATTAGTGAATGACGGCTTCAATACAAATGAGCTAAATCACAGAGAAGATGCTTCACATTCTTGGCTGATTGGGACCAGATTCTTGGCTGATTGGGACCAGATTCTTGGCTGATTCAAACCATGATCAGAACAATGACGAGAGTATTTTAAATATGTTTGCATGACAATAAATACTACCCAGTATTATCAAATTGTAACCCAATATCAAATAGCCTAGCTCATACCAGTATAATTACTGCAACGAATGCGATATTTTGTAATGAGTGAAGTTGAAAAAATGACAGACAAATTGTTCTTTGTACAATATTTTAATTAGTAAATATCATTTTATTTCATATAACGAGACATTTGGTGGCGATTCAATTACTTTACAAACCAATATTTCCGTTATGCTACTGTATTGCTAGTATTAGTTTTCAAATTTGTATGACTTATTGAAATTAGCATAAATTGGTTTAAATAGTATTTCCACGTATAATTACACACAATATATAGGCTATAATGGATTCCGTAACAAGCTCTGAAGTTTATAAAATAAAATAAAAATGGTCTGTTTAAATTGCATAAAACGTATGATAATTGACATAAGATTAATGAGATAATCTCTGTTAATATAGTAACTGTGACATAAAAAAAATGGAATATAAACATAAATAACGTAGGCCTACATAAAAGCATATAATTATAGTCACGTTATAGCCTAGATAAAACTCCTTTAAACTTAATTCAATATCAAAACCTCAGTTTATAGTATTTTTTATCGTGTGGTCCGAATCAGCCTAGTGGTGGTCCCAATCAGCCTGGAATGTGGTCCCAATCAGCCTGGAATGTGGTCCCAATCAGCTTTGACTTTTGGCCCAATCAGCCATGGTCCCAATCAGCTTGGTTCCTTTTCCACAATACCCAGGTTAGTATGTTGGGGTGTTCATCTATATGAACACGTACTTTCCCCAAATGATAACCTGTGCATGTGCTAAAACAACACATTACAGATTAATCAGTAACATGAACAACCGAGTCAGAACAAAGGCTCCAGTGTGTAAGTTGATATAACCGCCCCGAAAGCAGTTTTATGTTTGTCATTACATCAATTTCTAAATGTCAGCATCTATTGCGGATAGCCCACTAATTCCAGGCTATGAATCGTACGTTTCACCAATGTGGTAAAGTGAGTAGGTGTCGTTTACGATAATCTATCGCACCCCTCCCCCGCCAAATAACTCGCAGAGAGAGAGAGAAATGGGGTTTAACGTCCACTCGACACAAACTAGGTCATTTCGGGACTAACATATGGTTTAATTTTATTTCAATAATTCGCTTGCGCGTAGGGGTCTTTAGCAGTGGGAGGAAACCGGAGGCCCCGGAGAAAACCCACGAGGTTGGACAGGCGACCCTACTCCTTGCCACGTACAACTGGGGATTCGAAACCACGCCAGTAGACTCAATGACAGACTTTATGATACAGCGCGCTCACGCTAACCATTCAGCCATCCAACCCCCCAATAACTCGCAGTGATTATGCAGAATCTTTTACCTGGTTATATTATCGACAATGTAAGCTATCTAAAAAGTTATCCGACTAATTGGTAGAATTGTACTGAATGGATATATTCATTCTTAAATAAGAACAACATTATTTATTCTGTTTTATTTACATATTTAAATATTGTAGATTAGAAAATAATACTGTATTAATCGTGCC